TCCTCAAAGCTGTAATTCAAAGCCATAGGTGACCTTAAAGAAATGATTTTTTATATGCTACCTTTTATTTTAAGGTAACTTTTCAAATGTGGACCATGCATTCCATTATGTTTAGCTGTCAAGCACGGCCTTCATTTGCATTTCTTCCCACTGCTATAATTTTGAGAACTGGCAGGTGACCAAAGGAGAAAAAATGTGCATCTACCATCTAGAGTGCAATGTAGGCTTTTTTATTATAATTAAGTAGCATAGATATTCATGATTAGATCAAGGTCAGAGGAGCAGAACATCAGAGCCAAGGACTTAAAGGTACAAAGAATAGAAAAATGGCTTTCTAAAAGTTTTTTTAAATAGTAATAGCTACAATCTTTAAGTTTCGCAATAAAACATTTAAAATAGCTCATCTGTTTTATTTTAAAATGTGCATGCCTGGTATGTTTGTCGTGCATATTTAAACCAGGGTTTGAAGTCTCAGTTGAATTTTTCATCCCAGTTTTTTTTTTCCGACTTCCCATTTCTGCTCCTGATGCACAAAAGTAATTTGAGAATTATAATGACAGTAGATTTTTTTAAAGGCTGAGTCTATATGACACCCAAAATTATTTGTATAAAGGCATGATTTTCTCTTAAGTCTAATGGATTAATCCAAGGAGGTGGTGCAATGCTTAGATGTAGGTGATTTCAACAGAATATCCATCCTGACATTCAGTGGTAACTACAGTTACACATGACAGCTGTCACTCCACTTGGCAGACAGATGACTGTCTCCTTCCCTTTCTTGCACTCTCTGGCTGGCTTATTGGTTCCCTCTCAGTCTAGCTGATCAATTTAGATTTATCGCTTCACTGATCCCTTTCCCTGATATGACCCATCCGGCACATTGTCTCTCTCTTCTCAGTCTCTTGACTCATCTTCCTCCTTTGATAAATTCCTAACTGATAATGGGCACCTAGTATTCATTTCAGGGATCTTGTCTCTTTTATACACCCGAGTCAGATGGCATTTGGTGTCATCTGTACACCAAATGTTCTGTTTCGTATTGACCTCTCTCGTCACCTTGACAAACATATGTTCCACATTTGATTTGACATTTTGACTTGGTTATCTAATAATTTCACAAACTGAACCAAAACCAAACTCCTGACTTACCCTACTGCAAACTGGCACCATTTTGGTTTACTCCTTAATATAAGCTGAACACCCAGTGGATAAGGAGAAAAAAAGGAGTCAGCCTCAAATAGTCTCATTCCTCCAACCACTTCCCGCATCAGAAAATTCCACCGATGGTTCACCAGTGCCTCCCCTTCTGCCCATTTCTCTTCATTGTCACCACTGCACTCGTCTATGTCACCTCCATCCCTTGCCTATCTCCAGGTTTCTTCTCTTGTCCACTAAAATCCAACATCCACACAGCTACCAGAGTTCCAGAGTAACTGTTAAAAAGTACACGTGAAGACATCTCTATTCTGATTGCACCTTCAGAATGGCTTCCCATAATACTGAGGGTGAACTTCAAGCTCCTTCCTTTGGCCTGTATGGCCTAACCCTAACCCCCTCTTACTTAGACTCATCTTTTCCCCAGTCTTCTTCTATCTCAGCTACTACCCCATTCACTTTCACTGTTCCAGAACCTCTTTTAGATACTTTCTCCTTCATGATGTGCCTGACACATGCCCCTCCAGACCTTTTGACTGCTTTTAGTCATTCAGTCCCCAGTTCAAGTGTCATTTCCCTAGAGGTTTCCTCTATCCTTACCCCACAGGAGGTCTCTCCTATCAGCCCATTTTATTTTCATCCTAGAACTAGCCTAATATCTTCCTGCTTATAGTGTCTCTCCCACTACAGAGGAGACCAGCAGTTTACACATTTTGTTCACTGCTATATTCCCAGGGCCTAGAACAGTCCCTGGCTCATAGTAGATGCTCAATAACTCTGTTGAACAATTGAGCTATCACACTCACATTTCCTTGGCATCTATCATGTGTAGTTGCTGTGCCAACTGGAGTTTCAAATCTCATTCATACTTAATAATTTCCTATTTCTTGACCATTTTATTTTTGTTCCTTGATGACACTACATCAGATACATTTTGTTTAAATAAGTTTTTCAAAAGTGGATAGTCATTTAATACCAGTGCTACTCAAAACCTAGTCAATGGATCAGGGCTGATCTATATACTGTTTGTAACTCGTAAATAACAAACATTGAAAGAAAATACATAGAAATACTTATGGAAAGTTACATTTTATGTCTGACAAATCTCAAAATAAAATATAGAGTATGTCATTCTAATTGTATTTCACAAACATATTGATTACAGCTTGAGAACTTTTAAAAAACTTATTATTTATTTGTTTGTTTATTTGTTTGTTTTGCAGTACTGGGGATTGAACCCAGGGCTGTGCACATGCTAGGCAAGCACTCTACCCATGAGCTATATTCCCAGTACAATATCTTATTTTTTTTTCTATTTTTTTTCTTTTTTTTTTCAATATCTTATTTTTAACACAGCTTAAGAAGCACTATTCTATCTGCATTTAGAAATAACATTAGTAATATTTAATTATTTTTAATAAATTATATTGATTCAGCATGTATTAGGAATAGATCCAAATTGGATGGGGAGGTGGTATCAGGGATTGAACTCAAGAGCACTCAATCACTGAGCTCCATCCTCAACCCTATTTTGTATCTTATTTAGAAACAGGGTCTCATTGATTTGCTTAGCAACTCGCCATTGCTGAGGCTGGCTTTGAACTCATGATCCTCCTGAGCTGGTGGGATTAAAGGTGTGTGCCACCATGCCTGGATAAATCCAAATTTAACCTACAAAAATAGTGATTTTTTAAAACACAAAACAAGAAAATGTGTGGTTAAAACATTATAGTCAATACAAATCACTGAATTGGCAGCAGGGGCTGGGCTAGGGGCAGGGGTACTGGAGATTTAACACAGTAGTGCTTTATCACTGAGCCACAACCCCAGCGCTTTTATTTTTTTATTTTGAGACAGGGTCTTGCTAAGTTGCTGAGGCAGACCTAGAATTTGCCATCCTCCTGCCTCAGCCTCCAGAGTTGCTGGGATTACAGGCATATGCCACTGCACTGGACCAAGTTCCTGGATTTAAAAAAATTGTGTATGGAGGATGAATTGGGGAAAATATCCTTAGGAATAATCCTCATTGTAAATAACTGTCATTTAATAATAAAGCCTATTTGGAAATATAAAGTAATCTGGATCAATGCTAATAATAACCCTACTATCGATGGCACTGTTTTGCAAGAGTGGAGCAGAGAATGGGTTGATGAGCAACAGAGACAAGATTGTAAGGAAATGTCAGGAAGTTAAGCCTCCTATTCCAGGCCCGTTCAGATTTAGTCTCTCCACTGTTCATCAACATGTTCTCAGTTCTCATCTTACTTAAACCTTAAGTAAACTAATTGTAATAGCTAGGAAACTGCTCTAGAAAGAGCAGTTCTTTCTGCAAAAATAAAAAAGCTGCCCATTACTTCTTTTCTAAGAGACACAAATCTCAGTCATTCACAGATACTTCTATCCCCCTGAATATATCAGTCCCTGGGCCTTCATCTATGTCTGGCAGTCATGATTAAGAAGAAGTAAAGACAACCATAGATATAAGCCTATCTCCTGCCAGCAATTATCCTGACATACTTCCATATTACCTAGACACACCTCACAAAGGCCACTGAAGAGCCACAACTGCAATCATTCTTGGTCACTACCAATTTGGACTGGATTAGATTCAGTGACTTGGAGGTGAAAGGTTCCATATTCAATTACCAGGCCCCCAGCTTCCTCAATTAATCAAAGACTGACATAATGAGTCTATTACAACTCTTAAAGAAAAGATCAGAACAAATCAACATAACCAACTTCCTAACTATAAAAAGAAACATTAACCAATATTATTTATTTGAATACAAAGCCCAAGACTCTATGGTATTTAGGGATCTTGTTAGAATATATTTTATCAAGAATTTTATTATAGGAAATCTGAACGCAATCAAAATGACAATCAAGCTATATTTGGAACTCCTATATTAGACTTCTTTGGGGAAATCCAAATGTTTTCACATTTATTATACTATTTTTCTTGGAACCATAGTTTGTTGTCTCTGTAGTTCGTAGAATGATTTATCTGGTCAAAGGGAATGCTGTGAAAAATTGTAACAATCACAATGACACAGCTGAACTGCTAACCATATGGGGGTATCTTATCTATCATTGTATTAGGAAGTCCAAATGGATAAAAAAAAAAAGGCAGAATCTGAAAGATCATAAAAGAAGCAACAATTAAGTTTCGAAACATCTGAGGCAATAAAATGCTTCTTTTCTAAAGCAACAGCCATATAAACCCAGGGGAAACTACTGGAAAAGTCAAAAGCCAACTTATCCTATCTGAACTTTCAGTAACACTATCGACATTCATAAAGTTATTCAAGAGTTCAAAGTTTAACCTCATGTCTGATATTCAAGGATAAAGTCAAAGCAAAGAATACATTTCCCTTCATCTCTGTGTCAAAATAAGAACCACCCTCTACCTGCCAAGTAAAGTGAAGATTATTTATATAATGATTTATATTTTAAAAAAAAATAGTACCGGTTCTTTGTGTTGAGGATGTAAAAGAAAGTTCAGGTTATCTTATTCATTAATGAGTTAAAGTGTGAGACTTCTGAGAGACTCGGAAATCCTTTACTTTGGTGTTTTCTTTTGTCACCTTTTTTCCCTATTTAATATGTTCTCATTGATCTTACCTTTTTCATTTTTTACATCAGCTGTCAGGCACCACCCTGGGCTGGTCATCAGGATGCCAGAATCCTTGTCAGGAGCTTGTTCCTTTGAATGAAACCCCTTGGGTGCTGAAACCTTTTCAGTCATTTTGCCCTTCATCCTTCTAATTGTCATCCTTCTGATTGATATGTGGGAAGATTGAAGAACCATTACTATGCTGTTACATAACATCTCCCATTATTTGCAGGTTGCTCCCTCCTGGCAACATTTGGGGTGTTTGTTAATGCACTGAAAACATGCTGCCTGCAGTATTTTCATCTTGGTAGAGATGTGACAGACTGGTTAGACCATGCCAAGGAAAAAAATGGCGGCCACTACAGTGAGCTCCTCGTGGAAGACACAAAACCTTTCTTCGCCCTTCTCCCTCTCTTCATTTTTCAACTAATATACAGAGTGTGCATTATGCAGGTAAGAAGGATAATGAATACTAATGCAATAACAATAAACTGCTTGTTACCATTACAACTAGACATGTGCTACTTGTAATGTTACACTGCATCAGGCAGTAATTCCACAAAAGCTTCTATTCATCAAAGAGCTCTCCGATTTCAGGAGCTAGGTGGGGTCAGCAGAAGCATCTCTGAGGAACTCCTTGGCATGTCCTTCTTCTGGAGAACTATAAATGTCTGTCAGTAGGTGCAGACAATACTGCAGAGGGCATAGTCAGAAGGCATGAGAGACACACAAGGAAAAACAGATCCATAAGCAATTACCAAGCTTCCCTTTAGCCAAAGGTTTGCCTTCCTCCTTATTAGTGGCACTAATAAGGAGCTAAACTGACTGATTTGAGTCCCACCTCCACTATCCTCTTAAGTAGAAGGACTAATGAGCAAAGGATGCTTTTCCCACCCACTCTGTTAGTTCCATGGGGGAATTAGTGCCTATGCTGTGAGGAAATCAAAGAGAAAACACTAAGCCCAAAGTATCTTTTATAGATACATGTGATTTTTACAAATTTTTAATGTAGTTATGGTCAAAGGCTATGTTATTTATGGAGAAAATTAGATGATTTACAAAAGTTTCTGAACCAACTTGGGACTTTCTCCACTGCTGACCCCCAGTTGGAATTTAGAAGGCTAAAAGGGAACTATAGGTGTCAATCATAGAACAGTAGAGCTGCAAAGAAACTTACAGATCAATGCACTAACTGCTTCATTTGTTAAAAAGGAAACAAACTCAGAAAAATCAAGTGATTTTTGATGGGGAAATGGGTGTTAAGTCACAGTGAATAGTAGTAGAAAGAACAGCAGAAGGGATCCTCTGAGTCTCAGAACAATGTCTGCTCCTCTAAACAGAGTGTGCAAACTGATACCTTCAAGCCAAATTGAGTCCATGGCCTATTTTTTGCACATCATGCAAGCTAACGAGGTTTTTGTATTTTTTTGTGGTTTGAAAAAATCAAAAGAATGTTTTTTAGCATGTGAAAATTATATGCAATTTAAATTTCAATGTCTGTAAATAAAGTTTTATCAGAACATTGACACACTCATTATTGATTTGTTATATCTTTCTCTGCTCATGCACAAAAACAGCAGAACCGAGTAGCTGCCAAAGAATCCATATGTAGACATATTTACCATCTGGTCCTTTACAAAAAGTTTGCTGACCCTTGGTCTAAACAATGCATGAAAGCTAGTCTGATTTAGGAGAATTCAACCTCTCTCCGGATTCTATATTAGGAGCAGAGACAAGAGCAGAATATAGCAAAAATATTACCCATGTACATTTATATCAAAAAACAGCTTATATTGGAGAAATTAATACCTGGTTACTAAGTGGCTCATAGCTAGCTTCAAAACCTTCTTTGAAAATAGCACAAATAACTAATTCCTTATCTACATTATTAATGATAACTAATATTTTTTTCTACTGTTGAGCCTTCTCTGTAAACCTTTACATATTTTCTTATTTACATAGATACAATAAACTTTGATAAATTAACTTTAAGCATCTCACCAAATCTAGATTCCCAGTTTATTGCAAAGGACAACCACTAATATTTATTGATCACCTAGTAGGTATCATAGCTTCCAAAGATGTTTTTTTAATGTCTAATTTAATTCTCACAGCCAGCATTACCTGGCTGAAATTATTATCATAAATCTGAGGCTCAGAAACACCAAGTAACTTATAACTTGGACATATATCAGAATGATCATCCTCACTTGGGGCTGGTATTAAGCCCGCGCTTTTTTACTACCCACAGTGGCTCTCTTACACTGGGTTAAAAATCCCCAACACAAACTCTGTAGGTACCAAACTTATACACAGTAATGTTATGCTAGAAACTTAAAGGAAAATGTTAGACCTTGCTTCTGCAGAGGAAGCTCTACAAGGAGAGGCTGATACTAGACTTTGCCCCCAGATGAAATAATCACCAGTACAAAGGCATTCAAACTACCAAGAATAAAGCATCAGAGAATTCCATATTTTAAATTTAGTAGCCATTATTGACCTTCAGTTCCAAGGCATACATTTAAAATATGTTGATATTAAGGCCAATGAGGTTGCCATTTGACATTACTGGCCACTCAAAGGTGAAAATGAATCTCTATTGACAGCAATTATTTCTGAATAGTCAGAGGCTTGTATGAAATAAAAGTATTTAAAATTTTAAAAGGGGATGATTTCAGAACTTGAGGCAGAAGCAGAAATGATTTCAAGCTTTCAAGACACTGGAGCCTTTTCTTAGATTAGGCAATATATTAATATTGCTTCACTAAAGATTAATAGTACATTTGCCACATTATTAAGTTAACAGGTTTCTGTGTCTGTGATTCATGCCGATAATAACTTTATTCCTATTAACAATAATTCTCATTTCAAATCAGTAACAGAAACTTCCAAGTTATGCTGGGAGCCTTTCAGTCTTAACGTTGTGTGCTGCCAACACTTTTTTTAAAAAAAAATACATCATTCATTTCCCTCTAATCGAGGGACACATGCTTAATAATTTCCCTAAAGTAGGCCAGAACTAGCTGATATTCCCTTCACTCTTGCCTCCTGTACCTCACCAAAACAATCTTTGCTTATTATCCCAAGGATCAAATTAAAACTTCGAAGATAAATTATCACCAGGTTATGTTTTATGTAGATAGAAAAAAAGATCAGTGAAAATGAGGCTCTTTCCCATGTCTGGGCAGTTGATGTAGCCAGAGACTCATTTTACAATTGGTGGGCTTGTTAACCAGCTGTATTGCCTCTGACTCTGATTTTCCTGAAATGTTCTCGAACTGCACAATCTATTAGACAGAACTTCAAATGAGAAGTTCTGATGTGGGTGTTTGAGAAAGGCTGCTCTCCCAGGACAACTAGGCAGGAGTCCAAACGCAATTCCTACACTGTAAGGAAAAGTTAGGACCCTGTCTCAAAAAAAAAAAAAAAAAAGGAACAGTTTCGAGAATCCATTCCTCAAAAAGACCTGGTGGTCTTTTCTCCATGCCACTTAGGATCTTTGTGTGATGCCAGGAACTACAGATAACACCATGTGCCACTAACTCATGAACCAGAAAATAAGAGATTTGCTTTCATGTGACACAGGACCTTAGTTCTGATATTATAACTTACCATTGAGGCTTGGCATACATGAAGAGGCTCTAAATTAGTATTAACGGATTCAGTTAGCATTGGGACTATTTTAAATTAAAAAAACTCACAATACATGGAGGGCTGGGATAGAGCAGTTTTTAAAAAATATATCTGTTACTTTATTATGCAGACCTTTTCATGTAGTCCTCTTTGTGGTCTACTAGTGTTATGCAATTCATTTAAAAAAGGAGATCACAAATGCAGGAGGATTTCTCTTCTTTATCCTAATGTCATTAGGCTTATGATTAGAAACAAGTTCAATTCAGGAATCCTATAAAGAAAATCTACAAGAAATAATGTATAGCCACATTGGTTCCTTCTTGGGAAAACCCATTCTTATCTATTTTGCCATTAAACTATAGGTTAAAGAATCTATTCTAGACTCCAGTTTTTGCCATCAGGGTGAAGATTAACATCGTTAATACTTTCTGCGATATTTTTGCTTTAATGTTTGCGATAAAAACTTATTCTGCTTATTTGTAGAATTTAAGTGATTTGATTTCTTATGTGTCATCCTAAGCACAAAATTAGGTCCACCAGAACTTCACATAGGAAAATTAAGAAGATGAACTAAGTGACAAGAGTTTTCCATAAAGAATCAGTAGTATTGTCAGTTGACTAAACAGAGTCCTACTGTCACAGATGAAGACCCTTTATCAGCTCATAATTAGGACCATGAAAAACTGGGGAACGTCCAACTCATCTGTCACAGAGTACGTGCAAGGGACAGGCATCTTACGCTTTGTTCAAAATTAAACCACTGTCTTAATGCACGGCTGCTTCCTCCCTTCAATGTAGATTCCTTCGGCATATTATCTGCAGACCATGAATTCCAACCTGAATCTGGATGGATTTCTTCTGCCAATTGCAGTAATGAATGCCATCAGCAGCCTACCATTATTAGTTCTGGCTCCTTTTATGGAGTACTTCAGCACCTGCCTGTTTCCCTCTAAGAGAGATGGACCATTTCTGTCAGCATGCATTAGTAAGTACAGCTTTCCATTTCAAGTAAACTGTTTGCAACTTCTTTAAAAAAGAGAAAAAAGCACTCTGCTGAGATCTAAACTAGCTACATGCTCTTGAGTACAGTCAGATTTTCACAAACTGCAAAGAAGGTAAATTTATAAATGATAACATGCAGCTTACCAAATCCTCATCTCCTCTTGTAACCTCCTCAGAATTCACTATTGATAGAAAGAGATGATAAAATTTCCAGTATCACTAAATGGCCTATCCTTCTTCAATAAGGCAGTTCTTCCTCCTAAGTCAACACCAAATATGTTCTTAAAAATGAACACAGACAATGGATTCAATTTTTTAAAATTTCTAAGCCAGTAACAAAATTCACTAAAAATTAGTATTATGGGACTGGAGCTGTAACTCAATGGTAAAGATCTTGACTACATACATGAGGACCTAGGTTCAATCCCAGGCACCACTAAAAACAAGAAAAGAACAGAACTAAGTATTGTGATACCTAACTTCAATATAGTGCTTCTCAAAATGGTAACATCTACAGCATTTTTAAGTGAAACAATTGAAGTTAGAATATCTTAGGACACAATCAATAAATCATAATTTTTTTTTTCTAATGGCAATGGGAAAGAAGGAACTTCAGTCCATTCTGATCACATTGTCCTCTGCCTAACCATGTTTCCTCAGGCACAAGTGCTGGTTCAGTGAAACCAGAATCAGGGAATCTGAGTCTTGGGCCCTACTTTACCACCGATCCGCCATGGAGTGACTTTGAATGACCTAATCTCTCCTGTATTTAGTTTGCTTATTTTTTTCCCTTGTGGGCATAGCCTAGATAAATATTGGGTTCCTTTGTTCTGAAAGATATTTTAAAGCACTCAGGATGACATTAGTGCCCATATATAGTCCTTAACACATAGTGAAAGCTCTGTCAATGTTAGCCATTATTACGAGCCATCTCATCTAATTGTTTGATGGGCATAAGCAGGAAGCAAAGGGAGTTTGAAACTTTTAGGAAACATCATGCAATGATAACCAAACATCCTCTACTTGAGAAATAATTCCACTGAGAAAGTCAAGGTTGGGAATGTAGAAGATTCTCTTCTGGTTAACCTGTTTTTTTATTATTATTATTATTATTATTATTATTATTATTACTAGATCTTTATGGTTATACCCAGAACCTGTTTTCTCTCTCTCCCTCTCCCTGCCACCCATAATCAGTTCTGGGGAATACCCAGGGCTTCACACATGCTAGACAAGTGTTTTACCCCTGGACAGCATCCCCAGCCCCTTACTCTACTGTGATGTCCATACAGTCTTCTGGTTACATATACTTCCTGTTATTTCTGTTTACAGAAATTACATTTTAGGGTATGTGCTTCCTGGTGTTTATTAAAGCTATCAACAAGATATTCCAGATCACACCCACTTCTGCCTATTTAAAATAATATCTATTCTTAAAGGAGGGTATTTTTTTCTGGATAAAGTAAGAGTTATCTAGTATATTGTTCAATGTTGTTGATGAACTAAATATTCCCCCTTAAAATTGGTAATAAGACCTGTTGCACAGGAAAAAAGAAAAACTAGACTCACTTCAAAGAAATTAAGCTATGTTCCACTGGGTACTGAATACTAAATTCAGTTGTTTCTAAGCCTGACTTGATTCATTCATCATTTGCATACTTGTTCATTTATTTGCATAATATTTTGCTATGGGAATATAAAAGTGTGGTGATATGCATCTTTTAAACTAGATATTTGCTTAAGTTTTCCATATTCTGGTTATGATTATAGAAGATTAACAAGTTTTATCAGGACATGAAAGTACAAACCTAGGGTACTTCTTGATACTAATTTACATAATTGAATTAGTCTAATATTAAAATTTTCTTTCACTTTGAACTCAAGTGCCTGAAAATGTGGGTGAAGTATAGAAGTATATAAATTATGAATGAACATATATTTAGGAGTTCCTGGTTTGAACCTCTACAGCTTCGTATGCATATTCTATTGAACCTCATGATAAACCATCATTTAATAGACCAAGGATCACAAACACAGTGTCATTTGAATTCAGGCATTCTAGTTTTCTGTGGCCATTTTATTATCATCATTAAAAATTAGTCCACCACCAGCTTTACCTTACTGTTACATTCTAGAAGTTGAGTTATCAATGTTTACTTGAGCTCTGTACTGCCCTTTCCAGTTAGCACAATGACAGCTACTCCTTATACTTCCCTGACCTTCCATATTCAGTCATTCTGCTTCCATCACTGCCATATTTAAGGGAGGCAGATGGTATAGACAATGCCAGAGGCTAAGGTTTGACAAACCAAGCCTGAGACATGAGGAAATCTCACCCAGCTGGTCAAACTACAAATTTCACAAAAGAAAAACTAAATTTTTATTTTCTTTATATGGTTCATAAACAATGCAAGGAAAGAGGGGTTTCTGATTCAAAATATGACATTCCCAAGTTCTTCATCTAATAAATCAAAAGTATGTCAAAATACCAACTATTAAAAAAAAATCTCTACAGCCTTTCAGGTCTGTGAAGCCAAAGATGATTTGATATACTCAAAGTGTTTTATCCAAACTTTATTTTCCTAATACAATGCTTACATAGAATTAAGGTCAACCTCAATTTTAAAATCTAGAATTAGTGATATCATTGTGATTTATCCTATGTCATAATTGGTCATACTTCATTTTAGCCTTTTTCAATTAAAAAATGTTTACACCGTGAGTATTTCCTTTCCTTAACATTAATTAAAATCCTGCAGCATGTGGCATTCAGCAGCTAGTGCTGACATACGCAAATATTAATCTGACTAAAATTAGCCTAATTAAGACAGTTATTAAGTCTTACACAAAGCAGAAATGTACAACACACTGGGTAGCAATTACTGTGGCTCTTAAACATCATTTAAATTAAAATGCAGATGAAATATATTCAAATATCTTCAATACCTTCTTTAAAATAATCTGAAAACTCAAATTCTAATTAAAAGTCTTTTATGACCCAGGTTAGTCAAGATGTTGATATCTGACTACTACTACACATCCTACTACTTCTAATAACTGACTGTCACATAAAGTTCCATTTGGGGTTGAAACCAAAGTAATTGTAGATGGAAAACTGAGTCAGGGATCATTGAAATTATTATTATTTCAGGCAAAATTGTGTATTTCTATATAGTTTTCAAACTATATAAGGTTTATACCCATGGCAAAATAATTGATAGAAGAAACTATCAAGAAAAGATAGTAACTTATAAATATCTAGCCCCCCAAAAAAGTTATTTGGTGATAGAAAATATTAACTTTGAAATCCTACCTCATCTTAATTATTCCTTTTTACATAAAAGCACATTAATGTTCTCAGTTCTAAAAGATAACATCAAATTGGATTTAAATTTGAGATGAAGTAGACAATTTCACATAGCACCTGAAGCAGTACTTTATTCCTTATAGAGATACATCAGCATATCTAATCTCTAGGTAAATGAGCTACCTGTTCTACATTCATAAATTAAAATACTAAGTGAAGCTAAATTTCCTGAAGTAAGTTCCAATGATCTAACAAGAAACAAACTAGAGTAAATAGCTCAGATCAAATATAGAAACACACTGCTAATAGGAAAAAAAATTAAAAAAAAAAAAACATAGGCCATTCTAACAGTGAACGATAAATATCTTCCCCAAAGGCAGCAAATGCATGTGACAATAAAATCTTAACTGCCTCTTTAGAGTGACTTGGAGACAACAGTGTGTTCTTACATGAGCCAATTTCCTATTTCAGAAATTTTCCAAAATTATAGATCCAAAGGGAATTTCTCAAGTACTCAACAGAATATCATATATACACTTGTGAACTTACGTATCAGAGACTCATACATCAGACTACTCATAAAAACCTCTTAGTTTTCTCAGTGAATAAGTTTAGCCAATATCTAAAGAATCTTAATATATCCACTTTTTAGTATTAGATTTTGCTTCAATACAAGATGGCAAGCACAACCTTAATGTTTCAATGAATTTGAATTCTGACTTTCTTTTATTTCATTGTGGTCTAATTTGAAAAATTATTGCATGTTAGGGTGATAGAATAAACTATAAGAGCTTCAGGACTCTTATAGGCTTGTCTGCAACCACCTAGCCAATATTAAAACATACATTATTTATCTGAATATAATGTCTCCTTTGGAACCATTGTGCTTTATCCTATAAACACAGATCTGTAAGAGGTTTAAAATGTGTGCATTCTGATAAACTGCACTATGTCTTGGATGTGTCGTGATCACATACAAGTTAAGAATTAAAAATGGATTATATTAAATTTAGGATGGAAGAAAACTTTGCTTTGAATTTTTAAAAAGTCATTTTTCATTGGCACCAGAGTACAATAGCAAATAAAAAGCAAACATTGTTAACTAGATTATTCAATATTCTTTGCCCTAAAATATCTGGGTAAATGAGTGCTAAGATTCAAATGTTTTTGTTCCCACCAAAATTTATGTTGAAACTTAATCCCGAATATAAAAGTATTGGGAACTGTGGCCTTCAGGAGGTGACTTACAGAGATACATCTGTGTATCTACCAAGTAAATTAATCAGATTAGGGGCCTGAAGGTTTATTCCTTTTGCTCCTCACCTTGTCACGTGAGAACAGAGCTCTTCACCTTCTGGAGAAGGGGGCAGCATTCCCGGGCCATCTTGGAAGCAGAGAGTAGAGTTCCCAGTCTGCAAAACTGTGAGGAATAAATTTGTATCTTTCATAAAATAGGCATTTTGTTTTCATAGCACAAATGGAATACCATAATTTAAGCATATGTTTTTTGCCTGAAATTGGAGAACCATCTTTTATTGGACTTTGCTCTATCAGGTTTGATAATGCTCTAATAAAGCAGTCCTCAAAGTTTAAGGTGTACAGAAATCATCTAGATATCTAGTTTTCATCTAGATTCTGATTCAGTTGTTCTGCAGGAGGTAAGAGGAACTGAGATT